GTCTTTCTGGGAATTTGTCAGTTTCATCTAAGTTATTCTCATTTGTTGATATGCTATTGTTCATAGTATTCTTAGAATCCTTTTTATTTCTGTAAGATCAGTAGTAACATTCTGCTTTCTTTCCTGATTTTGGGGATTTTGAATCTTTTTTTATTTGTCAGTCTAGCTAGTTTTGTCAACTGATGATGTCAAAGAACCAGCTTTCAGTTTCATTGATTTTTCTCTAGGTTTCTAGTCTCTGCTTCATCCAAACTCTTTATTATTTCCTTCCTTCTACTTGCTTTGTGTTTACTTTATTCTTTTTTTTCCCTCCTAGTTTGTTAAAGTGGAAGCTTAGGTTATTGCTTTGAGGTCTTTTTTAGTGTAGGCCTTCACAGCCCTGTTTCTGCTATATCCTCTAAGTTTTAGTATTGGCTGAGCGTGATCTGACATAACAAAATATTACACCATAGACCAGGTGGCTTAAGCCACAGAAATTAATTTTCTCATAATTCTGGGGTTCGAAGTCCAGCATGGTCAGTTTCTGGTGAGATCTTTCTTAGCTTACAGACTGCTACCTTCTTGCTACATCTTCATATGGCAGGTAGAGAGAGCAAGAGCACCTGTGTCTTCATATAGCAGGTACAGCAAGAGCATGCTCTCTGGTATCTCTCTAATAAGGACATTAATCCCATCATGAAGGCCCCACCTCTAACTACCTTCTAAGGTCCCATCCCCAGATACCATCCCGTTAAGGATTATGTCTTCAACATATGAATCTTAGGGGGACACAATTCAGTTCATGGCAGGTATGTTCTATTTTTTTTTTTCATTCATTTCAAAGTACTTCCTACTTTTCCTTGTGATTTCTTCTTTGATCTATTTATTGGTTATTTAAGAGTGTGTGATTTTCACATTTTTTTAATCATTAGCATTTATTAATCGGATGGATAAATATAGGTTGAAAAACATACTTGACAGCAAAATATCAAATTGACAGCTGGACTATAGAATGTATGTGTGTGTGTGCTAGGTTGCTTCAGTTATGTCTGATTCTGTGTGACCCTGTGGACTGCAGCCTGCCAGGCTCCTCTGTCCATCGGGTTCTCTAGGCAAGAATACTGGAGTGGGTTGCCATGCCCTCCTCCAGGAAATCTCCTCGATCCAGGGATTGAACCCTGGTCTCTTAAGTCTACCTGTACTGGCAGGTAGGTTCTTACCACTAGGCCACCTGGGAAGCCCATAAAATGTATACATTTTTAAACATAAAAAAAATTTTTTTTTTTACAAAGAGCATTTACTATAATGGTCACTTACATCTTGTCATTCACATAGCAACAGTAGAGATCCCAGGGGTAGCATGCAGAACTGAAGTGCCCCAAGGAGGACAGAGGCAAGAGCAGAATAATATGCTGAGAAAAGACTCTTAAGAGCAATACCAAAAAAAAAAAAACGGGCAAAAATATCATCACAAAATTGTACCTGAGTGACGAGAAGCTCTGTTTCAAATCCAGAAACCTAGGTTAACATTTAAATTAGTCTGCTTCATTCTTTTCTTTGGATGCTTAACCCAGCCAGCACTTCCATCTTATAACCAAATCCAATGTGATCAATCACTAATCAGTTAAGGCCTCAGCTTTCTACTGAAGAGTTCCTGATAACCTGATGGAGAGATACTTGCTCTGGCTTCACTTAGCATGCTGTCAAGCATCCCTCTCTGTGCCTAACATGCCAACAGAGAACCCAAGTCTTCCTCTTGTTATTTACCATGAATACGCACTTAGAAACGGAAGCGTTGACACCCCTTTTTAGTAAACATTCCTTTAGAAACATTAAAAGGGGAGGACCTCCCTCTTACATTCCACATATTTTTTAATTTTACAAATGTATTATTGACTTGTAATTTTATCCCATTGTTGTCAGAGAACATACTTTTATAATTTCAGTTTTGAAATTTTCAGTTTGAAAATTTATTGAGACTTGTTTTGTGGCTGAACATATATGGTCTATCCTGGATAATGCTCCATGTGTGCCTCAGAAGGATGTGTATTCTCTTGAGTGGTATGTTCTATAGATGTATGTTAAGTTGATTTACAGTATTCAAATCTTCTACATCCTTGCTGATCATCTAATTCTATCCATTGTCACAAATGAAGTGTTGAAGTTTCCCATCTATTATTGAGTCATTTATTTTTCCCTTAAGTTTTGTCAAATTTTACTTCATTTATTTTGGGTTTCTATTGTTAGGAGCGTGTATGTTTATAATTGTCATATCTTCTTTGTGGATATCGAGTTTTTGTGTTTTTTTTTTTTTACCCTTTTGTCATTATGTAATATCATTCTTTGTCTCTAGTAACAAATACCATCTTGAAGGCTCCTGTTTTTTTATTCTTGTGACTTTGTAGATCCCAGGAATATATGAGGTTTTGTAAGCACCTGTGAATATCTCATTGCTAATATTTTCCTTTTAAGATTTTTGTTTGTCTCTATTATCCATCACCTCAGCCAGCTGGGAACTTAAACATCTTGCCTATAATTGCTTTTGACAGATTCCTCCTGGGGAATGAGTTTTGCACTTGAGCTCCCAGTCAGATCAAATACAGACATCCTTACTAGTGGGGTCTTCTAAGAAATTATTATCAGATAGGTCAGATGATGATCGTTCTTTGGGAACAAGGCTTTGGAAGAGATTCAGCTCCATTCTGCGGTCTCTGGTGGTTGCCTGGCAGTACTGGGAAAGTGGATTGTTTTCATGTAACTTATATCTGGAAAGTGAGGCCTGTGACTAGAGCAAGTTAAAATGCCTCAAAGCTCACTATTCTTACTGAGTTTCATCCATTTTTCTTAAAAAAAATGCTGGATTGCTGCAAGCCTTTGGCTAGTTTCCAGAGTTCTGAAAAAGTTGATTCTAACATTTTTTTTTTGGCCAACTTTTTCACTGCTTTTATGAAGGAGAGAAGTTTGGGAGGTCTTATCCCATATTCTTACTGATAAAATCAAGTGCATCACTTGTGGCAAAGGTAGGCACTGAGGCATCAGCAACCTTTCCAAATCAATAGTTCCAAGCTAGTCTAGGCATGACCGAGTTAGGAGGAGGCAAGTAACCCTTCTCCTAGATGTAGATACAAACAGAGACCTTAAACACGTCTACCTCTAAAAGGAAAAGGAGGGGGAGGGAACCATTTTCTTGTCACATCTACATACTAGATGTACGTATTATGGGGCTTCCCTGGTGGCTCAGATGGTAGAGAATCCACCTACAATGCAGGAGACCCAGGTTTGATCCCTGGGTTGGGAAGATCCCCAGGAGAAGAGAATGGCTACCTACTCCAGTATTCATGCCTGGAGAATTCCATGGTCAAAGGAGCCTGGCGGGCTATAGTCCATGTGGTCACAAAGAGTCCGTTACGACTGAGTGACACATAAACACACACGTACCTTTATGATGTGTAGGAAGTTTTATTCTTACTTTACAGTGAGGAAACTGAAGTGAAGGCCATGAAATGCCACAGGCCACAAACCTTCTAAGGGCATACCTTTAGGATTCAGACCTAAAAAGGCTGTTCCCTTTATAGTGTAATTTTCACTTTTTGAGTTATCACTGTGTGATCACTACATTTAATCATATTTTCTCATCTAGTCATCTTTCTTTGAGGTAGTTGTTTGTTTTTTTTTTTTTTTTACAAAAGAGAAAACTGAGGCTGAGATGTTAGGCCTCTTGCCCAGGTTATAGTATAAACAGGACAGAGTCTGTCCTGCTAGTTTTCTTCACACTTAACTTTAGACATTGTGCATTGCTTCTTCAGAGGATTGTCACCTCCTTTCCTGCTGACTTGCTTCTAGGGACCAGCCTATACTGTTTCCTGGTTAAGGAGCTCTTTGGTGTCTGAAGTCCTAGAGTGACCAAGGTCAAAAGAAATCCCCTTGGCTATCCATGTCTCTTGTCTAGTAGAAAGAGCACTAGATTAGAAATTCTGGCTTAGCAGAATGTTGCTAGAATTGGTCCTTATCATTGAAGAAGTTGAAAGGGCTAGTTGCTTGTTACTTAAAGAGATTGGAGGAATGAATACATGTTTAAATTTCTTTAATTCAAGTCGATGCGTGCCTACTATGTGTAAGGAGTTGTGGTACCTAAAATTAATGTATTTTTTTAAAGTTTGCAGTTCTTAATAACTTAGTTCTTCCTTAGAATTAACTATTGTGTCATAAACCTACTAGTCAATAGACTTTTTAACTATTTAACTATTTTGTCAATAAGCTTACTTAATTTAGTGGTAGTTCTGGCAACTTCAGTTCTTGCAGAAAAATGAAACAGTCACTTAACTCCCACATGTAAACATATTTTCAAAAGCAATTGCAAAATTCTTCCAAACTATTCCTGAATTCTTAAACAATGAGTATTTTTATCAGACCTGTAGATATTCATCTATATGGATGATCTTTTTTTTTTTTTAACTTATTTTTGGGCTGTGTTGAGCAGTATGTGGAATCTTAGTTCCCAGACTAAGAATTGAACCTGCATCCCCTGTGGTGGAAATGCAGAGTCTGAACCACTGGGCCACCAGGGAACTCCCTACACAGATGCTCCGTAGGTATTTCTGAAAGCTGTCAAAAGTTAAAGAAGCATCCTTTGGAGAAAGGAGTGATGTTTTCTGGCTTTTTTACTCTTGGCCAAAGAACCTAATTCTGTACATTACTCTGTCTTTGACTTGGCCGTTTTCAAACAGTAATTACAGATCTGATTATTTATTGAGAAGTAAAATATGGAGCTGAGTGAAGGAAGGTAGCTCCTAGAGCATTTGCAGTTTTACAGGAATTTTCTGACTTTACCAACCCATGACAGTTTTGATACTCAAAAACATTGATTTCACTTACTTTTCTTAACTTACCCCCTCTCCCAAGTATGTAATACTTTTTTGTGTGTGATATTCTTTAATGTGGTAGAAAATCTTATTCATGTGGACTTTTGATTAGACTTTCTTTGTTTTTAATTTCCTAAATTAGAAATGTTTATTTTGTAGGTATCATAGCTGCAAATGTTTTTGTATTTTGTTTGTGGAGAGTACCTTCTCTGCAGCGGACAATGATCAGATACTTCACATCCAATCCAGCCTCAAGTAAGTCTAACTTGTGTGATTTTTATTTTGAGGTAGAGGTAATATGAAGGAAATATGCTTTATGGTAATTGAAGTGCTATAAGAAAGATGACTAACTTGTCAGTAGTTACAAGCAAAATCTGGAGGACAGGCTGTAAGCTTGTAGCAGACAGGAATCTCATTTCTCTTACAGCTATATCCAGGCACCTAAAATGTACCTTGCACATGGTAGATTTCCATAAAAATTTTTTAGTGACTTAAGATCAGTGATCACTAGAAGTTTACTCTTTAAAGAGACTATTATATACAGTTTTATTTCTGTGATTTAAATAATTTGCTAATTATTTTTTCTAGCTAACTTTTTCCATAGGACAAGTTGCTTTTGTTGACCTGAGAATTTTTATTGGTTGCTGTAGAAAAGAGATTTAAGGTAGCTTTGTACCACTTTGAAAAATGCTGTCTTAAACCATCTTATCCAGTCTTTTAACTGGCTTTGGTTTGTTGTGCAGGTTTTTTTCATAATGATAATGATAATGAAAAAAGTCTAAAATGGATCATTTTTCCTGGCTATGTGTGCACAATTACAGGACGTTTTCTTTCTCTTGTAGAGGTCCTTTGTTCTCCAATGTTGCTGTCAACGTTCAGTCATTTCTCCTTGTTTCACATGGCAGCCAATATGTATGTCTTGTGGAGCTTCTCCTCCAGCATAGTGAACATTCTGGGTCAGGAGCAGTTCATGGCAGTATACTTATCTGCAGGTAATCAGCTTTCATCTTGGGGCTGTCCAGAGTTTAAGTGCTCTCATCTATCTGAAGAAGGGACAAAGGGAATGGTTATAGCCACATTTTATATACAGTAACCCTAAGTACATATTTGTCTCTCAGATTGTATGTAGAGAAGGATACAAGCTGGTGTAGTACTTAAGCATGTCATTTCTGTTTCCCAAGGCCTTGGTTTCTTTAGCTCAGGCCCACCATTTTATAGATGAGTGGTTCCCAGACTTCTCGGCTGCCTTAATCATGTGGGTCTTTGTTAAATAACTTTACACTCATTTCTGAAGTGTGTTCAGTTTCCAGAAAGCTTTTGATTAGAGCTCTCCAGTAAAATTGTCAAGAATGAGTTCATTCATTTTGTTGCAAGCATACATTAGCATGGAACCACTCTAGTCATCCTGGACTTAGCAGCATTTCCTTATCTCAGCTTGAAAATGATAACTCAGGATTCCAGGTTCCTAAATGCTGCTAAATTGGCAGTTGGTTGATTAAAGTTTGCTTGTCTCAAAAAACCGTGAGTCTACCACCATACCACCCTGAACGCACCCGATCTCATCAAAAAATCGTGAACTTCCAGATGTTTAAGCTGGTTTTAGAAAAGGCAGAGGAACCAGAGATCAAATTGCCAACATTTGCTGGATCATCAAAAAAGCAAGAGAGTTCCAGAAAAACATCTATTTCTGCTTTATTGACTATGCCAAAGCCTTTGACTGTGTGGATCACAATAAACTGTGGAAAATTCTTCAAGAGATGGGAGTACCAGACCACCTAACCTGCCTCTTGAGAAACCTGTATGCAGGTCAGGAAGCAACAGTTAGAACTGGACATGGAACAACAGACTGGTTCAGAATAGGAAAAGGAGTACGTCAAGGCTGTATATTGTCACCCTGCTTATTTAACTTATATGCAGAGTACATCATGAGAAACGCTGGGCTGTAGGAAGCACAAGCTGGAATCAAGATTGCCGGGAGAAATATCAATAACCTCAGATAGGCAGATGACACCACCCTTATGGCAGAAAGTGAAGAAGAACTAAAGAGCCTCTTGATGAAAGTGAAAGAGGAGAGTGAAAAAGTTGGCTTAAAGCTCAACATTCAGAAAACTAAGATCATGGCCTCTGGTCCCATCACTTCATGGCAGATAGATGGGGAAACAGTGGCTGACTTTATTTTTTGGGCTCCAAAATCACTGCAGATGATGGTAGCAGCAATGAAATTAAAAGACACTTACTCCTTGGATATGATCAACCTAGACAGCCTATTAAAAAGCAGAGACATTACTTTGCCAACAAAGGTCTGTCTAGTCAATGCTATGGTTTTTCCAGTGGTCATATATGGATGTGAGAGTTGGACTATAAAGAGGACTGAGCACAGAAGAATTGACGCTTTTGAACTGTGGTGTTGGAGAAGACTCTTGAGAGTCCCTTGGACTGCAAGGAGATCAGCCAGTCCATCCTAAGGGAAATCGGTCCTGGTGTTCATTGGAAGGAATGATGTTAAAGCTGAAACTCCAGAATTTTGGCCACCTGATGCGAAGAGCTGACTCATTTGAAAAGACTCTGATGTTGGGAAAGATCGAAGGCAGGAGGAGAAGGGGTCGACAGAGGATGAGATGGTTGGATAGCATCACCAACTCAACGGACATGAGTTTGGGTAAACTCCGGGAGTTGGTGATGGACGGGGAGGCCTGGCGTACTGCAGTTCATGGGATTGCAAAGAGTCGGACACAACTGAGCAACTGAACTGAACTGTCCCAAAAAAAATGTATTTTGTTTGCAAAATGTACTTAAAGCCATAAAGTATAAAAATTCATTCCTAAAATCCTTTCATTCTAAAATTCTTTCATTTAAAAACAGTTTATCTGCCAGTTATATGTAGTGAAAAGGCACTCAACTTGGAGATAGAAGACCTAGGTTCAGATCCTATTTCTGCTACTAGCTGTGTAATGTTGCAGAAAAGACTATACCTCTCTGAGGGTAATGGTACTTACTCTCATGACAGGGTTGTAGAAGGGATGAAAATAGAAGCATCTACGACAAGGTCCAGAGTGGGTACTTAATCATTGTTAATTACTCCTGTGCATCTAGTCCCTCAAAACAGAAGCTGAGTAATATCTTTGGCCTGTGTGTGTAGTTCTTTCCCCTGAGCACTAATGTTGTTGTAATTACAAAGAGTCTCTTTCAAGTGCCATTAATTCCTGCTCCGCAGAAAGTTGTTTTTCGAAATTAGCCACACTCAAGGTCAGATGACATTGGTGCCAGAGGGACCTAAAAAATCATCTAGTCCAGATCTGCAGCACATTCGTTTGGCAAACTGGGTAAAATACAGACTCCCTGGTCCCACTCCAGAGATTCTGATTTAGTGTATAATGTGTAATCCAGAGAATTCCCAGACAGTTGGTGAGTTTGGGCCATAGTCTTTCTTCATACAGTGTAGATGAGGAAAATGAAAATTAAGAGGTAGAGTGAATGACCCTGTGTTACTTAGTAAGTGGTGCAGTGGGTCAGACTTTGCTTTACCTATAATATATCCGAAGTGATAGGCAGGATAAGTATTTATACCTGCACCTTGACTGGGGAAGAAACCCAACTGTTGGACTTCATGGGGTGGAGGTCAGAAATGGAAGCCATTTTTATACCTCACTGAAATTAGTGAAATGTGATTTATTTCTTAGGTGTTATTTCCAATTTTGTCAGTTATGTGTGTAAAGTTGCCACAGGAAGATATGGACCATCACTTGGTGCAGTAAGTATTTCTAGTTAAAATTTTTCACTTCATTTTGAAATAATTTTAGATGTACAAGAAAGTTGCAAAATTAGTATTAAGATTCATACAACCCTTAACCCTGTTATTAACTACAAAACCACAGTACAACTATCAAAGCAGGAAATTAATATTAAAACAATACTACTAAACTAATCTGAGTCTAATATAGAATGTATACATTTGTAAAGCCTTATAAATTTCAGGCCGTAGCTTTTAGTCATCTATATATACTTAACTGGCACAGAGTACATATCATGAGGAATAGTCAAAATAGTGGGTATCCAATCCCCATAAACCAGAGAGCCTAATCTAGCATTGAAAAATTCTAAATGGAGATTTGAATCTGGTACTGTATCCTCTTCTTTATCAGTACTTATGTGCTATGCAGGTTGGACTACTGGGCGCTGTACTTGCTGGAGACTGGGAATGCATCCAGTGAGCAAGATCAGTTTCCTGGTCTCAGTTATGTTCCAGATGATTTTGTAAAAATTACAAGTCTGTTTTCTTTTGCATTTAATGGCAAATTTCTAGACATGTGGAAATCTTTACATATGTCTTTAAAGACTACGCATTTAATTGTGTATAAATACTAATGCACTTAAATGTTTTCAAATAGAAATGTCATATTTAAAGAAACTCTACAAATGTTTAATTTCAGAAAAGCACCCTTATGTAAAATACTCATGCCATAATTTGTCTGTTCCTCAGATTTGTGTCTACTTAATTTTCCTAATGAGGCTGGTATCTTTTCCTGTGATCTTTATGTTTTAACTTTAGCCCCCTACCCTTTTTTCTTTGTGGAATGTTTTCTATATAAAATTTGGTGCCAATATAATTTATATATCTCAAATCTATTCTGTACCTCATCTGTCAACTAAGTACCTGTTTTGTGAAGACCAATTGGGTGAATCAGACATGTACTTTAACTTCAAATTTAGTTTAGTTGGGGAGCAAACATTACACACATCTAATATACACTGAAAGGGCTGAGTCGTCGTTAGAGGACATTGGAGGTTCTGAAGATGGGAGTACTTTTCTTGTTAGTTCAGGGGATCTGGGAAAGCATTTTGATGTGCCCTCAGACAAATGTTATTCCCATTTTACAGATAAGAAAGTGAAGTCTGAGATGAATAGAGTGTGGTAGCATGGCATTTGGAATTAGACTGGGTTTGAATCCCAGCTCTGCCACTTATTTGTGATTTCTGGGATTTATTACTTTACCTCTCTGAACCTGTTTCTCAATGTAAAGTTGTGATAACATACCCATTTCTGATTTGCAATGCAAATGTTTAGAGAGCTTTTAGCATAGTAGGAAGCATAAGGTGTAAGTGGTGGTTTCTGTTCAGTCATCAAAATCCTGTTGAGCCATCGCAGGATGTAATTATCATGCCCCAATACTTTTATTCTTTTTTGGTTAAAATGAAAGAAAACCAAGTCATCAGGCATATAGTATGCTGCTGCTGCTGCTAAGTAGCTTCAGTCATGTCCGACTCTGTGCGACCCCATAGACGGCAGCCCACCAGGCTCACCCGTCCCTGGGATTCTCCAGGCAAGAACACTGGAGTGGGTTGCCATTTCCTTCTCCAGTGCATGAAAGTAAAAAGTGAAAGTTGAGTTGCTCAGTCGTGTCCAACTCTTCGCGACCCCATGGACTGCAGCCTACCAGGCTCCCCCATCCATGGGATTCTCCAGGCAAGAGTACTGGAGTGGGGTGCCATTGCCTTCTCCAGTATATAGTATATTTAATGAGAAATGTGGAGAAAAAAATACTATTGACAGAATTGTGGTAGAAAATTTAAAGTACTGGCCTTATAATTTTCTGATTTTCAAAAGTTTGTTTGCTGCTAAATATACCCTTTGTCTTGAGATGGAAAAGATCAGTGAAGTATTTATTGTAGGAAGTAGCATATGTAAAAATGTTTGCATTTTTTTTCCCTTGAAATTGTGAATAGTTTTTTTTAATTTTTAAAAATTTGAATGAAGTATAGTTGATTTACAATGTGTTAATTTCTTCTATAGACCTAAGTGATTCAGTTACACATATATACTTTTACATATTCTTTTCCATTATGGTTTGTCACAGAATATTGAGTATACTTCCCTTTGCTATACAGTATGATCTTGTTGTTTATCCATCCAGTGTTTATAATAGTTTGCTCTGCTAATCCCAAACTCTTCCTCCTTCCCTGCCCTACCTCTTACCCACTTGGCAACCACAAGTCTATTCTTTATATCTGTGAGCCTGGTTATATTTCATAGGTATGTTGATTTGTGTTGTATTTTAGATTCCACATGTTAGTGATGTCATATGGTATTTGTCTTTTTCTCACTTCACCTAGTATGACAATCTTTAGGTCCATCCTTGTTGCTGAAAAATGGCATTATTCATTCTTTTTTATGGGTGAGTAATATTCCACTATACATATGTACCACATCTTCTTTATCCATTCATCTGTCAGTGGACATTTAGGTTGCTTTCATGTCTTGGCTATTTTAAATAGTGCTGCTATGTACATAGTAATGCATATATCTTTTTGAATTATTGTGTTGTCTGGGTGCTCAGAAGTAGGATTGCTGGATCATATTGCAACTCTAGCTTTTTTTGAGTGATCTTCTTACTGGTTTCCACAGTGGCTGCACCAATCTACATTCTTATCTCCACACCCTCTCTAGCATTTTTTTATCTGTAGACTTTTTAATGATAGCCATTCTGACCAGTGTGAAAAGTTACTTTATTATAGTTTTGATTTGTATTTCTCTACTAATTAGCAGTGTTGAGCATGTTTTCATGTGTCTGTTGGCCTTGTGTATTTCTCCTTTGGAAAAATGTCTGTTTAGGACTTCTGCCCATTTTTCAATTGGGTTGTTTGTTTGTTTGATACTGTATGAACTGTCTGTATATTTTGGAAATTAAGCCCTTGTCCATCACATCATTTGCAAATAGTTTCTCCCATTCTGTAGATTGTCTTTTTATGTTTATGGTGTCCTTTGCTGTGCAGAAGCTTGTAAGCTTGATTAGATCCCATTTGCTTATTTTTGTTTTTATTTCTATTGCCTTGGGAGTCTGACCTAAGAAAACATTGGTATGATTTATGTGAGGGAATGTTCTGCCTATGATCTGGGAGTTTTATGGTATCATATCTTACGTTTAAGTCTGTAAGCCATTTTGAGTTTATTTTTGTGCATGGTGTGAAGGTATGTTCTAATTTCATTGACTTACATGCAGCTCTGCAACTTTCCCAGCACCACTTGCTAAAGAGGCTATTTCCTATTTTATATTCTAGCTTCCTTTGTTGAAGATTAATTGGTGTGTGGGTACCACCCCCACCTCTCTGTTTTGTTCCGTTAAGCTGTATGTCTGTTTTTGGGCCAGTACTACCACACTGTTTTGATTACTGTGGCTTTGTAGTATTGTCTGAAGTCTGGAAGGATTACGTCTCCTGCTTTGTTCTTTTTTCCTCAGGATTGCTTTAGCAATTCTGTCTTTTATGGTTCCATGTAAATTTTAGGATTATTTGTTCTAGTTCTGTGAAAAATGTCATGGGTGATGTGATAGGGATCTCATTAAATCTGTAGGTTATTTTAGGTAGTATAGCCATTTAAATAGTATTAATTATTCCAAGCCTAGAGCATGGGATATCTTTCCATTTCTTTGTATCATCTTTAATTCCCTTTATTAATATTTTGTAGTTCTGAGCATATATCTTTCACCTCCTTGGTGAGGTTTTTATTATTTTTTATGTGATTTTAAAGGGCATTGTTTGTTTACAGTATCTGATATTTCATTGTTAGTGTAAAGAAGGCAACTGATTTCTGTATGTTAATCTTGTGTCCTGCTACCTTAACTGAATTCATTTATCAGTTCTAGTAGTTTTTGTGTGGGGTCTTCAGGATTTTCTGTTGATATATATAGTAGCTTGTCGTCTGCATATAATGACAGTTTTACCTCTTCCCTACCAATTTGAATACCTTTTGTTTGTTTTTATGGTCTGATGCTGTGGCTTGGGCTTCCAATACCGTGTTGAAGAGAAGTGCTAAGAGTGGGCATCCTGATCTTGTTCCAGATTTTGGCAGGAAGTCTTTCAGCTTTTCACCATTGAGTACTATATTGGCTGTGGGTTTGTCATAAATAGCTTTTATTATGTTATGTTCCCTCTATACTCAGTTTTGTAAGGGTTTTTATCACAAGTGGATGTTAAAATTTATCAAATGCTTTTTCTGTATCTATTGAGATAGTCATGTGGTTTTTGTCTTTTCTCTTGTTGATGTGTGTCACATTGATTGATTTGCATACATTGAACCCTTCTTGTGACCTGGGGATGAATCCAGCTTGGTCATGGTATATGACTTTTTTGTATGTCATTGGATTCAGTTTGCTAATATTTTGTTGAGATTTTTTTGTGTCTATATTTATCACAGATACTGACCCGTAATTTTTTTTTTTGGTAGTGTCTTTGCTTTTGGTATCCGGGTTATGGTGGCTTCATAAAAAGTGGTCCAAAGAACACTTTGGAAGTGTTCTTTCCTCTTCAGTGTTTGGGAAGAGTTTGAGAAGGAGCAGTATTAAGTTCTTCTTTGTATGTTTGGTAGAATTCCCCAGCTAAGCTATCTGGTCCTGGACTTTTGTTTCAGAGATTTTTCTTTAAATTTTAGATTCTGTTTCATTTCTAGCGATTGTTTTGTTCAGATTTATTTATTTCTTCTTGATTCAGTTTTGGTGGACTGTATGTTTCTAGAAAGTTGTCTTTTTTTTTTCTAGATTGTCAAATTTCTTGGCATATATTTGTTCATAGCATTCTCTTAATGGTTTTTTGTGTTTCTGTGGTATCAGTTATGATTTTTCTTCTTGAATTTATTTTGTTTATTTGGATCTTCGCTCCTTTCTTCTTGGTGTGCCTGACCAGAGATTTGTCAGTGTTGTTTACCCTGTCAAAGAACTAGCTGTTTACTGTGTTGTTTTTTTTTTCCCTGTTATCTCT